CTCCCCAAAAATCCCCCCTAAATCCTCCCTAAAACCACCCCAAATTTTCCCAAATCTCCCCAAAACCACCCCAAATGCCCCCAAATCACCTCCAATCTCCCAAATTCCCCAAATCTGCCCAAATTCCCCCAAACCTGGCCGCACCTTTCCGGTACAGGTAGAGCAGGGCCAGGGGGGAGGCGTAGCAGGAGATGGACCAGAGCACCGAGGCCTGCGGGAGCCCCGGATTTGGGGCGATTTCGGGGGATTTTGGGGAAATTCGGGGAAAATTTGAGGGAATTCGGGGAAAAATTGGGGAATTTGGGGGAATTCAGGAAAAAATTGGGGGGAGTTCAGGGGAAAATTGGGGAAAATCAGAGATATTCGGGGGAAATTGGGGGGGATTTAGGGGAGATTTTGGGGTATTTGGGGGAAATTGGGGGGATTTGGGGGAAATTTGGGGGAGTTCAGGGAAAATTTTGGGGAATTTGGGGAAAATTTGGGGAAATCAGGGAAATTTGGAGGAAAAATTGGATATTTGGGGGAAATTTGCGGGAATTCAGGTGAAAATTGGGGAAATTCAGAGATATTCGGGGGAAATTGGGGGGGATTTAGGGGAGATTTTGGGGTATTTGGGGGAAATTGGGGGGATTTGGGGTAAATTTGAGGAAAATCAGAGAAATTCAGGGAAAATTTTGGGGAAAATTTGGGGAAAATCAGGGAAGTTCAAGGGAAATTCAGGGGAAAATTGGGATATTTGGGGTAAATTTGGGGACATTCAGGGAAAATTTTGGGGAATTTGGGGAAAATTTGGGGAAATTCAGGGAAAATCAGAGAAATTCAGGGAAAATTTTGGGGAATTTGGGGAAAATTTGCGGGGAATCAGGAAAATTTGGGGAAAATTGGGATGCTTGGGGGAAATTTGGGGGAATTCAGGGGAAATTTGGGGGATTTGGGGGAATTTAGGGAAATTTGGGGGAAATCAAGGGAATTGGAGGGAATTTAAGAGTAATTTGGGGAAATTTGGGGAAAATTGGGGAAATTGGGGGGATTTTGGAAAATTTGGGAGGGATTTAGGAGAAATTCAGGTGAAATTTGGGGAAATTTTGGGATATTTTGGGGAAATTTGGGGGAATTTGGGGAAATTCAGAGGAAATTTGGGGACATTCAGGGGAATTGAGGAAAATGCAGGGGAATGGAGGGAAATTCGGGGTAAATTCAGAGGAATTAAGGAAAATTTGGGGGAAATTCGGGGAATTGTGGAAAATTCGGGGAAATTCCGAGGAATTGAGGAAAATTTGGGGGAAATTCGGGGAAATTCAGAGGAATTGAGGAAAATTCGGGGTATATCAGGGAAATTTGGGGGAATTGTGGAAAATTCGGGGGAATTGCAGGAAATTTGGGGGAAATTGGAGGAAAATTCAGGGAATTGTGGAAAATTTGGGGAAATTCAGGGAAATTCGGGGGGAATTGGGGAAAATTCACTGGAAATTAGGGGAAATTCGGGGAATTGAGGAAAATTCAGGGGAAATTCGGGGAAATTCAGGGGAACTGAGGAAAATTCAGGGGAAATTCGGGGAAATTCAGGGAAATTCAGGGGAATTGAGGGAAATTCAGGGGAATTGGGGAAAAATAGGGGGAAATTCGGGGGAATTGAGGGAAATTCGGGGAAATTCAGGGGAATTGAGGAAAATTCAGGGGAAATTCGGGGGAATTGAGGAAAATTCAGGGGAAATTCGGGGAAATTCAGGGGAATTGAGGGAAATTCAGGGGAAATTCGGGGGAATTGAGGAAAATTCAGGGGAAATTCGGGGAAATTCAGGGGAATTCAGGGGAATTGAGGGGAATTCGGGGGAATTGCGGGAACTTGGGAACCGCGGGCAGCTGCAGGGGCCTGGGGTGGAGGCGGCCGGCCGCGCTCACCAGCGCCAGGACGCTGTCCGTGTGCTTCTCCAGCCCCCGCGGTTGGTAGTACGAGTCCTGCGGGGGCACCGGGGCTCAGCGGGGCACCGGCACCGGCCCCGCTACCGACACCGCCCCGGCCCCGCGCCTCACCCAGGCCGGCTCCCCCCGCGCCTCCCCGCCCGGGGCCGCCCCGGGCAGCCGCGGCCGGTGCACCCGGTAGAGCCGCGGGCCCAGGACGCAGCTGAGCAGCTTCGCCATGGCGGCGGCGGCGGCGGAAGCGGCGGCGCTACCGGGAAACGGCGCTTCCGGGGCGGGGCCGCGGCGGCGTGGGACGTTGCCATGGGAACGGGGCAAGATGGCGGCGATGGCGTGGGAACGGGGGCGGGACAAAATGGCGGCGTTGCCATGGGAACGGGGGCGGGACAAAATGGCGGCGTTGTAAATATGGGCGGGACAAAATGGCGGCGTTGCCATGGGAACAGGGGCGGGACAAAATGGCGGCGTTGCCATGGGAACATGGGCGGGACAAAATGGCGGCGTTGTAAATATGGGCGGGACAAAATGGCGGCGTTGCCATGAGAACGGGGGCGGGACAAAATGGCGGCGTTGTAAATATGGGCGGGACAAAATGGCGGCGTTGCCATGGGAACGGGGGCGGGACAAAAATGGCGGCGTTGCCATGGAAACGACCCCAGAAAAGGCCTGGAAATGGCCCAAAAGCGGCAGAAATCGCCCCAAAATGCAGCGCGAGGGGCGCGAATGGGGCAAAGGGGCACCAAAAGCGGCTGGAGTTGACTCAGAACAGCCGAAAGTCACCCCAAACCGGCTGGGAATGCACCAAATCCACCCAAAATTCCCCAAAATTGGTCCGGAACAACCCCAAAACAGCTCCGAGTGCTCCAAAAGGCACCAAAGCACCTGAAATCCCTCAAATCCACCTAAATTACCCCAAATTCCTCCCAAACGGACCCAAAACCACCCAGGAGTGCTCAAAAAATGCCCTAAAC